CAGCCGATGGGCAGGGGAAGGGGCTGGAGCGGTCGGTTCCCTCCCCAGCACTCACCGCCACGGGAAAGCTGCACACGCCAAGACAGCACAAAGCGTCAGGAACACCTCTGGGCAAAGTGATAAATACATTAAATAACCAAGCGAATAATCTCTTAAAATTCCAAATATACACAAATATATAGAAAAATCACTTTCCATAGGTAATCCCACGGCAGCTCCAGAGAACACATACATTAAATAAAAAAAAGAAAACTCTGTTTCTCACTTTTTTCTAGCGAAAGATACATGCAGGAAAAGGAGCTACATTTATGAAATTCCACACGGCCAAAGCGAAAGGCAGCGCGTCCCTTCGCCTGCGTGCAAAGGAAGCAGGGGAACGTGGTCTGTGACAACACGCTGTAGAAAATGCGGTAACCTTGGATACCGACTGCAAGGACCCTGGGCTTTGGCTGGTGGCGTAAGATCTGAGAGGACGCCGAATGCAACAGTGAGTCATGGCAGTGACTGGGACACGTCAGGGAGATGGTCCTCGTTGTGCAATGCCGGTATCGAGGGCATCTACACGCAAAACATTCGGTGCGCTCCCATGACGTAAAGGTGTTCGGTTCAGAACGCCTTCTGCTTGCCACGCAGGCGGGGGTATCGCCTGCTGCGTTCCCTGCTGTGGGGAGCAAGCAAGCAGCAGTGCCATACTTCAGTAAGCTCTGCTGCAATTAGAATTGTAAATGTCGATTCCTTATTTTTATGGACCAGGAGACACGCTGGATACATCTTTGAGAGGGAACTTACTTGCTTAACAAGTACGTTAACAAGTACAAGAAAAACATCACTGAAAGACGCTTCAATGACAATATAGCTGGTACTGTATTTGAAATACTGGTCGCTTTAAGTTTCACATTGTGGCCTCTTATTTGTGGCGTTCTCTTTTAATTAGGAAAAAAAAAAAAATCCTATCTAGCTAAGCGTTCGGGAGCCGTGGTGGAAACCCATGCTAACAGTCAACTCCCTTT